TTGTAAGACTCTTGCATTATGATTGGGTGATGAGGGGTCTGTTTTCACCGTCGTTGGCTCATTTATGTCCATTATAGGATCAGTGTGTTATATTTCTTTTTTGAAGGTGATTGACTCTAAGTCTGGTTCGAGGGCTGGCGGTTGCCTGTAGTCCTTTTGTCGTTTTACTCCCTCTCTGAATGTTGTGATATCAATTTAAGCACGTTTCTTCAAAAAAAAGTATGGTAATCCCTTTTAATCAAGATGAACTGAAATGATCAAGTAAATACAACCTTTAATTAATATAACCTTTCTATAACATACAAACATGTTAAAACATCTATTATGTTATGTTTGAAATTTGTGTAGATTTTATCATATTTATATGAAGATTAAGAATATTAGTGGCTAGTGGTGAGTATAAAAGTGTAAGTACACAGGCAATGACAAAATATATGTTCATGTCATTTTTTTAAGTAGATGGTATAATAAGAATAATTTATGATAAGATGTGTAACGTGTGTATATATAGTACTTGTCATGTATCTATCTAATGGAAATAAACATATACTCCGTATAAGTCTTTTAATATAATGATGGGAAAATGGAAACTAATAATCCAACCTTTTAGCGATCTTCTTTCAATAATCCCACCTTTTGATTATTCATGAATAATCCAACCTTTGCACCTCATCTTCATTCATTGGTCCCTGGTCGGTTAATGATCTACTATTCCAAATTATTTTCTTATCTTTGCAAAATATTATCTTTGTGAAAGATGAGATTTATGGTATAATGATTTGCAAAGATAAGAAAATAGCTTGGAATAGCAGGTCATCAACCGGTCAGGGACCAGTGAATGAAGATGAGGTGCAAAGGTTGGATTATTCATGAATAACCAAAAGGTTGGATTATTGTGAGAAGACCGCTAAAAAGTTGGATTATTAGTTTCCATTTTCCCTATAATGATTTGTAAAAATAATAATTCACAAAATAAAGTCGTGGTGTATCACTCTTGATTTAAGAAAAATCTACTAAGTACAAAAAGATATAAATCCTATACATGCATAGGTACTGACAAAAAGCACTCGTGCCATTTTTAAGCAAATGGAAATTTGTTAAGATACTACTCCGTATTTTTTATAAAATAAAGTCGTGGGAACCGATTTAAAAAAAAACAGTGAGCAATATTAGTAGGCTAGCTAATGACCTGAGTATCTTCAAATGCAATTTTTGTTTCAATTTTTATCCAAATTTTGGTAGGGTATTTGTTAATAATTATTTTCGTAAGTAAGTTTAAAAAAACACACATACCTATATAATTGAAAAAATATGTTCCACTATTGAGTATTAATATTATGATTTTTCTTATATAATAACTAATGTGGTTAATAGTGATAATTTATTTTCCAAATACATTTTAACTTCTTAATTTCAGTTTATATTAATATTCATACTCCATTCGATATAAAATAAAAAAAGATATATGTGAGAGTACACAACAAATATGGAAAGTATTTAGAATCACTATTGCCCTTTTTAAATATTTCTTCAATACAATATAAGGGTATGTTTGGCACAACTAGCTGAAAAGATACTTTTGTGGAGAGTCCCTATATAGTACACCCGGATGTACGTACATCCGGCCCAATTATTAAATTTGACTGGTGGGCTTACATCTTGTTCCAGCGAAAAAAATTAAAATCCCCAGTGGGATTCGATCCCCAGACCGGAAGTAGGATATGTGGCCTTCCAACCATCTCACTAACTTGTCTTGTTGAGATAATTAGTTCTTTTATCTTACTTATCCTATATAGTTTCATACTGCCTATTATTAATAGTAATTATAATATTAACTATTCTTTTGTTTTTGCTCATTATTACTATATTAAAAGACTAATTCATATTTTTGAAATATTTATTTGATCTATGAATCATACTATTACTTTATATAAATATATTTATACTTTTTATATAGTGTTAGGTTCCTAATAAGCCTGATGCTCATCAAAAGTGTTTTAATGCTCATAATAGGTCGATGAACATTAAAAGTTTATTAATGCTCATTTAACAGAATCTGTGATTTCCATCTCAATAGAAACTGTGATTTTTTCATCTCATTGATATGACATTGTAAAAATGAGCATAACATGAGTACCAAATGAACATACATAACTTACAAAGTGCACATTGATATGAAAATCGTAAGGTTTGTTAGTTGAACATCATGACATTTTAATTGAGCACCCAACCTCCACTATTGAGATGAAAATCACGACTTCTGGAGAATGAGTAATAATGAACTTTTAATGAGCACCAGACATATTCTGTTGAGCATACTGAATACACAAATTGATATTTAAGCATACTCGAGATTTTAAATGAGCTTTTAAAATTTTTCTATGCTCATTTCGTAAATTAGCTATGCTCATTTGATATTTGTGTAATGTTCATTTTAAAATGAGCACTACACGAGACAACTAAAATGTCATATCCATGCATATTGGCGCAATGCTCATTTTGAACTTTTTGATACTCATTTCACGCGTTGTGTATTCACATTTAATATTTGAGCATCAAACATCCGCTATTGAGATGAAATTCACGGTTTCTAGTGAATGAGCAATAATAAACGTTTAATGAGCATTGTACCCATTCTATTGAGTATTAGGAGTCTAATATTGAGAATCGTGATCTCCGCTTCATAACTTCTAATTCACTTTCTTTTTGTTATTTTTTCTTTTATAAAATCTTATTAAACTATATTTATAATCAACTCCTGTGAATTTCAATATGTGAATTAATGTAAAATAGTACTTTAAAAAATACATCGATATGACATTTAGAAAATGAGCATAAGATCTCTACCAGATGAGCATACGTAACTTACAAAATGAGTATTAATGAATTTGTTAGTTGCTTTGTTATTTGAACATCACGACATTTTCATTGAGCATCAAACATCCTCTATTGAGATTGATGAAAATCACGATTTCTGTAAAATGAACATTAATGAGGATTCGACCTATACAAATGGGCATATGTAACTTACAAGATGAACATCGATATGAAAATTGTAAGTTTTGTTCGTTGAACATTTTACACACGCATTGATATGCCATTTTACATATGAGCATAAAATTAGTACCAAATGAGCATGTGTAGCTTACACAATGCGCATTGATTAAAAAATCATGTTAATTGGACATCACGATATTTTCATTGAGCATCAAACCTCCTATATTGAGATGGAAATAATGATTTGTATTAAATGAGCATTAATGAATTTTTAATGAGCATCAGACTTATACAAATGAGCATATGTAACTTACAAGATGAGCATTGATATGGAAAGTGTAAGTTTTATTCGTTGAACATCAAGACATTTTCAATGAGCACCAAACCTCCGTTATTGAGTATTAGAATCTGCGATTGAGTATCATGATTTGTAGTCTCATGTCTATAATCAACTCTTATATAAATCTAATAATGTAATATGAGACTTTTGAAATGTGCATTGTTAAAACATTTTAAAAATGAACGCAACAGAGATACTAAATGAATATACACAATTTACAAAAATGAGTATTCGAAAATTCAAAAGCTCATTCACGTATGTTCATTTTTAGGCGTTTTACTCATTTGAGTTTAAGGTAAAACTCATTTCTAATGTGCTCGGTATAATATACCACCTCCGTTCTTTTTTATTAGTCCTTCTTTTCTTTTTGGGACGTTTTTTTTATCTGTCCTCCTTTCCATTTAAGGAAAGTTTTTACTCTAAATATACTTTTATACCCCAACTTTTATTACCATTACCCCTTTCTCTTTCCTACTTTTTCATTTACCCACTACTCATTACACCTTTTTACACTACCCCTACTACTTTCTTCTTAAAACCCGTGCCAAAGCCTAAGAGGACTAATATTAAAGAATGGATGGAGTATATAAAAAGAAAAGAAGTAAACAACAAATAAAGAAAGTAAAAGAAGTAAAAAAAGAGAAAGTAAAATCAACCAGCAAAAGTAAAGAAAATAAAAAACAAAAAGACAAAGTAAAACATAAAAGAAATGAAGCAGTTCAACCAAAAAAAAAACGAAGCAGCGAATGAGTACAAAAAAAAAGAGTAAGGAAGCAGCGGATAACACATGTGACACCACACCCGAACGTCCTTGAAAATTTGATTTTAAAATTCAAAGTTATGTATTGGATTTCTGATTCCCAAACGATTGTAAAACGATTAATGTTTTACGTAATTAATGATCGATTATTGTACTGTCCGAACTCGTATACAAGTATCGGGCCTTATTAATAAATAAAAGAGCCTAACATTATCTAAATAGTAATACATAACGTTTCAAGACAAGTTGAGGAAGGGCGGGCGGCCCAGATATTATTTTGGGCTCAACCCGCTAGAATAGCAAGTATTCGAGAATGGCGTCGTAGGCCCACTCGGGGGCGACCCCCACGGCTTGTAGCCCAATAATATGAATGACAAATGTCAAAATAAGTGATAGGATAATTTGAGATGAATAAAAAATGCCTATGATCCCATCTTTGACATTATTGAGCTAAATAATGGGAGTAGGATTTTCCTTCTATAATGTCCATCAAGTAAATTATTGAGATGAGCCTACACATATTGGAGATCAATAATGTGATGTAGGAAGTTGACTTGTTCTAAATAAATTAGGATGAGTACAAAAAGACATCTTTGACAAAAGATAAAACAATAGAACCCATCTTCCCATTTTTGGAGGTATTGATAGATATTTTGGACCCCAAAATAATTGGGATCAATGGGGAACCACTCCACATGATATTAGTACCTGCAAGACAAATAAAAATGGGTGAGAAGACTTACCTTGGCCGACCACCATGGAGAGGGGCTGTATAAGACTTGATAGGAATCAAATGTTGGGCCACCATCTCCATTTTTCGCACAAAATGGTGTGCTGTTTGTCTCCACTCATCATGGGAGTTATACTCGACCAAACAACGTGTATAAGGTGTCCTTGGATAGCCTTTGAAGTCTATTTTCATAATTGAGTGGTCTCTGTTCGAGAGGAGAGAGTAATCATCCAAAAATCGATCTGGAGCGAGCAGTGGTCTGTAAACTCGAGCTCTGAGAGTGCTGAAACTGTTTGGTGGATATCTCGAGTTATACCAATCCAATTAAGGCGTGTGAGATACCAAAAGAAAGCTCTCAAGACGAGGAATCCGTGAAGGTCCGTTTTGCATCAATCGGAGTAGTGGAAGGCTTCCAAATCGTCCGAGCAAAACACAACCTCGCAGAAACGGATCTACTCTTCTAAAGTGAGTTGTTAATCCCAAAACCTTTCCTTTCATTTTCCAAATGATATGAACGATTGGTGGAACTATTGTACACTAATCCAAGTGTATAATATGTCCTTGTAAAGTTATTTTATTGATGTAAAGGTTAGATACTAACCTAGAGTAAATCTTGGAAAACTAGGAAACGTGTTCACCGGAAAACACCCATTCTAGGGGCTGTTTTCGTACCAACGTTTAGGGGTTGAGATAGCGCTTTGAAGAGGCTGTTTAACACCCATATTTGAGCAAGGAATCAGTTCCAAATCCACCATGACCAAAGTCTTGACCATTGGACCAAGAAGGGATAGTTTAAAGCTCAATTGAGGTGAGGATGACCGACTATATTGTTTATAATCTTTGGGTTAATTTCATAAGATTACCTAGAGCAATTAAATGTGATTTTCATAGGTTATTAATGATTAGTAATGCCTAAATGGAAATATTATTGTTTGTGAATAGAAGATGCATAACATACAAGTTTATGAGAAAATTGTGTATGATGATGCATTACAAATATGATGGTATAATGATTGTACAAACCATGAATTTATGTGATAAAATATACTTTTACTTCATGTATAGAAATCATGAATGGATAAAAGTGATATTTTTATATTGAGATTAAATCATACACGGAGTGGAAAATCCGTAGGAATGAGCCTTATAACAATGAATTAAAGATCTTGGTTGTTTAAAGACTAATGGATTAGTATTGAATTCACTAGTCGGGAATGTTAGTGTAAAAAGTGATAGAACAAATCCTAAGGGCTTGGATTGTGAAGGATGCACCTTAAGTAGTCTTATGAGATGTCTTAAGGTAGGGATGGGTAACCGCTAAATTACATTAAGAGTAGGCCTCATAGGCTACTCAAGATAGAGAAAACCTAGGCATAGAATTTGCTTAGTGAGTAGTATCGTGACTAGAGGAAGCCTCTAGCACGATGAGGAATGACTGGAGGAAGCCTCCAGCATTCGTGTAGGACGACTAGAGGAAGCCTCTAGCGTAGTGTAAGATGACTAGAGGAAGCCTCTAGCATAATGTAATGTGACTGGAGGAAGCCTCCAGCACAAAGTATGTAAGGTGATTAGAGGAAGCCTCTAACACCGAATGTAGTGACTAGAGTCAGCCTCTAGCACGACAAAACATGACTAGAGGAAGCCTCTAGCATGGTAAACTGATATAGATGGGTGTGGCTTGAAGTCACGGGGGAAGGGTTAAATGTTTTCAAAGTAAACATGAGCCTTCGGCCGACTACTTGACTTTATATATAAAGTAAGTATATTTGTAAAGAGGGTAACCACGAGTTATGACCTATATTGTAATATCACCCTATTTGAGGGTCTTGGAAATTGAAACGTTGATTATACTTAGTATAGTTGTCATTGTACTTGTCAAATGCTTCCAAGTACTGACCTCCCCTTCACGGGGGAGGCCACCTCACAGTTTCAGGTAGGACTTGAAGGTTGCTACCACGCCCGTTGCTTCGGGAAGATCAAAGGAGGAGGACGTGGTTCGTGCTTCTTCCGTTTCTGTTTTAAACAATTACAATAATGCTCATGGAAATTATTTTGAATACTATTTGGGGGCTTGTATGCCCATGTTTGCCACGTGTGGCTTGAATACGTGTATTAATGTTTCCGCTGCTTTAAATGAATATTTTACATTATGTTTGTTTATGGATGTACTATGTGTGAATGGTATTCAAGACGCCTAGTATAGTATGGATGAGTTGGACTGCGGTTGACTATTCGTACTGTACGGCGGGTTGTTGACGTGTCCGGTAGGTCCGGGGCGTGACAATTTAATTGGTATCAGAGCCTTAGTCCGTAAACTTCATAATGAAGCTTCAAAATCTCTTTTTGGAAAACGAATTTGAAAACCATGAGCATAAAAGTTTTGTACTTATAGGACTTTTGGTACTTGAGTTGCAAAGTCTCTAATTGTTAAGATGGTACCCTTAACAATTGGTATGGCAGTGATTTGAGCCAAAAGATGTCTTTAAGTACCTATCCGTCACTTGACATTTGATACGAGCCTAATGGCTCATTCTAAACTTCTTTCAGAAATGGAACGCACCGGTAGAGTGACTCGACGGAACCCGACTGGCCAGGTGCTGGGAGGATCCCAACGTGGCAGTCAGGGGGGATCAAGAGAGTCTGGGGGACAGGGCCGAGCAGGCCACTCGCTGACCGTGAGTGACGGTCACGTGGAAACAATAGATGAGCACTATGAGTCCGAGGAGGATTCAACTTACCAACCGGGAACTGAGCCGGTTGACACCCCATATGATGGGGAACACGATGATGCTAGTGATGAGAGTGATGATAATGACGCTCTTGAACGGATTGAGGAATTGCTCCGGCAATACCAACAAGATCGCCAAAGGCGCCGGGCAAGGCGTGCTTTGGAAGGGGCTTCGAGGAGAGGAAGCCGCGCGACTCCTAGGGAGAGCATTGAACTCCGAGGAGGTCGAGGTGCCGAGGTTCCTATCATAAGGATCTCAAAATACCTAAAGGAGGCAAGAGACTTGGGATGTAAACCGTTTGATGGAACGGGAGACATCTCCGTGGCGGCCGAGTGGATCAAGAGATTCAATGAAGCGGCCCTTGATATGCAGCTGCCACCCCATATGAAGATGAGAGTGGCAACAAGATTGCTAGAAGGAATGGCGTCCACGTGGTGGGACGGTGTCAAAGGGAAGTACGGTGAGGCGGTCACTTGGGAGAACTTCAGGCAAGAATTCTTTAGCCAATACTACTCCGACTTCGAGGTGAACTTGAAGAGGAGGGAGTACACGAATCTGACCCAAGGAGGGGAATGCACGGTGAAGGAACTTGAACACAAGTTCAGAAAGCTTGCTGAGTTCATACCGGAGTACATTTGTGATGAAAACCGGATGGTGAACCATTTCTGGGATGCCTTGGACCTTGACATACGCGAGAGGGCAACACAATTGCCTAATATGACGTTTAGTCAAGTGGTTGAACAAGGCTTGAAGGGAGAAAAAGAGTGGGAGGAAAGAAAGCGAAGAAACGCCGAGGAGGCAAAGAAAAGGAAATGGGAGAACCATGGCCCCCAGGGTTCAAACAAGAAGGGGAATCACGGGGGAGGAGGATCCTTCAGGGCACCCGCACCACCATCAAGGGGGAATCCCAACATGGGGGGGCAAAACTCGGGGTTACAAGCCTCGACGAAGCCTAAGTGCAGGAATTGCAAGAGAAATCACGAAGGCAAATGTCGTGATCCCCCACGGTGCTACCAATGCGGAGATACGGGGCACATAAGGCCTAATTGCCCTCAACTTGGTGGGAACCGGTCATCAGGACCAAACGTGGCAACCACGGTGAGTAGAAACCGGGGTGGGGCACCAAATGCAAGTGCGGGCCACGGCGGGGCAAGTACAAGCAACGCACCCTCCGTGAACCAAGGAAGGACTCAAGCTAGAGTCTATGCGATGACGGAGGCGGAAGCTCAAGCGAACCCGGATTCCGTTGCAGGTATTACCTTTTGTATACTTATGTTTTACCCTTGATTAGTCCATAAATTGAGGTTGCTAGTCGTTGGGATCATTGCACGAAGCTTTGGGGTCAAACGGAGCGAAATCGGGCGAAAGACGGCTGATTTCCGCCAACGCACACCAGGCTGGACCATACGCACGGCCGTGCGTTGTCCGTGCGTTGGTCCGTGCGTTGGTGGCAGTAGCAACCCGGGAAGAAATTTCTATACGCACGGCCGTGCGTTTTCCGTGCGTTGGTCCGTGCGTTGGTGGCAGTAGCAACCGGGAAGAAATTGCTATACGCACGGACGTGCGTTGTCCGTGCGTTGGTCCGTGCGTTGGTGGCAGTAGCTCCGTTTTGAGGTTATAAGACACGCACGCCGTGCGTACCTCCTAGGCACGCCGTGCGTACCTCCTGGGCAGCCCAAAGTGGACTTTTCCGCGCCGTATTGCAACGTTAAGACCGGTTCTTGATCCCAAACACGTGTGTGAACATAATAAACCTCTCTAAATGTATAGGAATGGTAGGAAAAATGTCTTACATGGTTCATAAATGTAGGGACACTAAAGATTAATGGGAAGGATGCGCGAATCCTTATCGATACCGGGGCGCAACGTTCATTTGTGAATGAAGCGTTCGCCAAGAGGTTGGGGGTGCAATCCGCACCATTGATGCAAACCTTAGTGGTATCAACACCACTAGGAGATGACGTGGAAAGAACTTGTTATTATCCATCTTGTGGGGTGGAGGTTAATGGTCAAGCCTTGACGTGTGACTTCGTACCGCTGGGCATGATTGAATTCGATGCAATCCTAGGGATGGATTGGCTAGAAAGGAACCATGCTAGGGTAGATTGCTACACGAAGGTTCTTGAACTCGAAGGCAATGATGGGGAGACCCTACGCTTCGAGGGCGATCGAGGGAGATCAAATAGCTGTATCATATCCGCCGTGAGAGCGAGAAGTATGATGAGAAAGGGATGCCACGCATATCTAGCATACGTGGTTGACAAAACCAAAGAGGAAACGAACATCGATGATGTGAGGGTGGTTTGTAAGTATCCGGATGTCTTCCCTAAAGACCTACCGGGGCTTCCACCTGACAGAGAGATTGAATTTGTGATCGAGGTCGAGCCGGGTACCAAACCAATCTCCATACCGCCATACCGTATGGCACCCGCTGAACTTAACGAGTTGAAAACCCAATTGCAAGAGCTTTTGGATAACGGTTTCATTAGACCAAGCCACTCCCCGTGGGGAGCACCGATTCTTTTGTGAAAGAGAAAGATAGGACACTTCGAATGTTCATTGACTATCGTCAATTGAACAAGGTCACAATCAAGAATGAAATCCTTTGCCTAGGATTGATGACTTGTTTGATCAACTACGAGGAGCAACTGTGTTTTCAAAGATTGACTTGAGGTCGGGGTACCATCAATCGAAGATTAAGGAAGATGACATACCAAAGAGTGCTTTCCGCAGAAGGTATGGACATTTTGAGTTCCTTGTTATGTCGTTTGGGTTAACAAACGCCCCAACAGCATTCATGGACTTGATGAACCGAGTATTCCATAAATCCTTGGATCGATTCGTGATTGTGTTCATAGATGACATTTTGATTTACTCAAAGAGTAAGAAAGAGCATGAAGAGCACTTGATACTCGTTCTTGAGACACTACGGGAGAAGCAACTTTATGCCAAATTTTCTAAATGTGAATTTTGGCTAAAGGAAATTGCCTTTCTCGGGCATGTGGTTTCAGGATCGGGAATTGCTGTTGATAATAAGAAGATAGGGGCCATTACCGAATGGGAGAGACCAAAGAACGTCAAGGAAATTCGTGGTTCCCTTGGGTTAGCAGGCTACTACAGGGAGCTCGTGGAGAAATTCTCCGTTTTGGCATCACCATTGACAAAGCTCACTCGTAAAGGAGCTAAGTTTGTATGGGATGACAAATGTGAGAAAGGGTTCATTGAACTAAAGGAGAGATTGACTGAGGCACCGGTACTTGCATTACCCAAACAGGGTATGGGGTACGATGTCTATAGTGACGCGAGCATCCAAGGACTTGGATGGGTGTTGATGCAGGAGGGGAGGGTAAATGCCTATGCTTCACGATAGTTGAAGAAGTATGAGGTGAATTACCCTACCCATGATCTAGAGCTGGGAGCAGTGGTGTTTGCACTGAAAATTTGGGAGATATTATCTCTACGGAGAGACATGTCACATATATACTGATCATAAGAGCTTGAAGTATGTGTTTACTCAGAAAGAATTAAAACATGAGACAGAGAGGGTGGATGGAGTTGATAAAGGACTACCATCTAGTTATTGAGTACCATCTAGGTAAGGCAAACGTTGTAGCAGATGCCCTCAGTCGGAAGAGTTGTCTGGGGCATTGTCGACTTGTTTGAGGTAATCGAGGGGAACTACGCTGTGCAACCAATCAAGGTCACCAATAGAAAAGTGAAGAAACTGAGGAGCAAAGAGGTCCCAATGGTTAAAGTACTTTGGAAGAGCGATCAGGTCGAAGGGGAGACATGGGAAACAGAGGCTTTGATGAGAAAGCAGTATGCTTTCCTTTTCGAGTAGAGCTGTGAATTTCGGGGACGAAATTCCTGTTAAGGGGGGTTGAACTTGTGACACCGCACCCGAACGTCCTTGAAAATTTGATTTTAAAATTCAAAGTTATGTATTGGATTTCTGATTCCCAAACGATTGTAAAACGATTAATGTTTTACGTAATTAATGATCGATTATTGTACTGTCCGAACTCGTATACAAGTATCGGGCCTTATTAATAAATAAAAGAGCCTAACATTATCTAAATAGTAATACATAACGTTTCAAGACAAGTTGAGGAAGGGCGGGCGGCCCAGATATTATTTTGGGCTCAACCCGCTAGAATAGCAAGTATTCGAGAATGGCGTCGTAGGCCCACTCGGGGGCGACCCCCACGGCTTGTAGCCCAATAATATGAATGACAAATGTCAAAATAAGTGATAGGATAATTTGAGATGAATAAAAAATGCCTATGATCCCATCTTTGACATTATTGAGCTAAATAATGGGAGTAGGATTTTCCTTCTATAATGTCCATCAAGTAAATTATTGAGATGAGCCTATACATATTGGAGATCAATAATGTGATGTAGGAAGTTGACTTGTTCTAAATAAATTAGGATGAGTACAAAAAGACATCTTTGACAAAAGATAAAACAATAGAACCCATCTTCCCATTTTTGGAGGTATTGATAGATATTTTGGACCCCAAAATAATTGGGATCAATGGGGAACCACTCCACATGATATTAGTACCTGCAAGACAAATAAAAATGGGTGAGAAGACTTACCTTGGCCGACCACCATGGAGAGGGGCTGTATAAGACTTGATAGGAATCAAATGTTGGGCCACCATCTCCATTTTTCGCACAAAATGGTGTGCTGTTTGTCTCCACTCATCATGGGAGTTATACTCGACCAAACAACGTGTATAAGGTGTCCTTGGATAGCCTTTGAAGTCTATTTTCATAATTGAGTGGTCTCTGTTCGAGAGGAGAGAGTAATCATCCAAAAATCGATCTGGAGCGAGCAGTGGTCTGTAAACTCGAGCTCTGAGAGTGCTGAAACTGTTTGGTGGATATCTCGAGTTATACCAATCCAATTAAGGCGTGTGAGATACCAAAAGAAAGCTCTCAAGACGAGGAATCCGTGAAGGTCCGTTTTGCATCAATCGGAGTAGTGGAAGGCTTCCAAATCGTCCGAGCAAAACACAACCTCGCAGAAACGGATCTACTCTTCTAAAGTGAGTTGTTAATCCCAAAACCTTTCCTTTCATTTTCCAAATGATATGAACGATTGGTAGAACTATTGTACACTAATCCAAGTGTATAATATGTCCTTGTAAAGTTATTTTATTGATGTAAAGGTTAGATACTAACCTAGAGTAAATCTTGGAAAACTAGGAAACGTGTTCACCGGAAAACACCCATTCTAGGGGCTGTTTTCGTACCAACGTTTAGGGGTTGAGATAGCGCTTTGAAGAGGCTGTTTAACACCCATATTTGAGCAAGGAATCAGTTCCAAATCCACCATGACCAAAGTCTTGACCATTGGACCAAGAAGGGATAGTTTAAAGCTCAATTGAGGTGAGGATGACCGACTATATTGTTTATAATCTTTGGGTTAATTTCATAAGATTACCTAGAGCAATTAAATGTGATTTTCATAGGTTATTAATGATTAGTAATGCCTAAATGGAAATATTATTGTTTGTGAATAGAAGATGCATAACATACAAGTTTATGAGAAAATTGTGTATGATGATGCATTACAAATATGATGGTATAATGATTGTACAAACCATGAATTTATGTGATAAAATATACTTTTACTTCATGTATAGAAATCATGAATGGATAAAAGTGATATTTTTATATTGAGATTAAATCATACACGGAGTGGAAAATCCGTAGGAATGAGCCTTATAACAATGAATTAAAGATCTTGGTTGTTTAAAGACTAATGGATTAGTATTGAATTCACTAGTCGGGAATGTTAGTGTAAAAAGTGATAGAACAAATCCTAAGGGCTTGGATTGTGAAGGATGCACCTTAAGTAGTCTTATGAGATGTCTTAAGGTAGGGATGGGTAACCGCTAAATTACATTAGGAGTAGGCCTCATAGGCTACTCAAGATAGAGAAAACCTAGGCATAGAATTTGCTTAGTGAGTAGTATCGTGACTAGAGGAAGCCTCTAGCACGATGAGGAATGACTGGAGGAAGCCTCCAGCATTCGTGTAGGACGACTAGAGGAAGCCTCTAGCGTAGTGTAAGATGACTAGAGGAAGCCTCTAGCATAATGTAATGTGACTGGAGGAAGCCTCCAGCACAAAGTATGTAAGGTGATTAGAGGAAGCCTCTAACACCGAATGTAGTGACTAGAGTCAGCCTCTAGCACGACAAAACATGACTAGAGGAAGCCTCTAGCATGGTAAACTGATATAGATGGGTGTGGCTTGAAGTCACGGGGGAAGGGTTAAATGTTTTCAAAGTAAACATGAGCCTTCGGCCGACTACTTGACTTTATATATAAAGTAAGTATATTTGTAAAGAGGGTAACCACGAGTTATGACCTATATTGTAATATCACCCTATTTGAGGGTCTTGGAAATTGAAACGTTGATTATACTTAGTATAGTTGTCATTGTACTTGTCAAATGCTTCCAAGTACTGACCTCCCCTTCACGGGGGAGGCCACCTCACAGTTTCAGGTAGGACTTGAAGGTTGCTACCACGCCCGTTGCTTCGGGAAGATCAAAGGAGGAGGACGTGGTTCGTGCTTCTTCCGTTTCTGTTTTAAACAATTACAATAATGCTCATGGAAATTATTTTGAATACTATTTGGGGGCTTGTATGCCCATGTTTGCCACGTGTGGCTTGAATACGTGTATTAATGTTTCCGCTGCTTTAAATGAATATTTTACATTATGTTTGTTTATGGATGTACTATGTATGAATGGTATTCAAGACGCCTAGTATAGTATGGATGAGTTGGACTGCGGTTGACTATTCGTACTGTACGGCGGGTTGTTGACGTGTCCGGTAGGTCCGGGGCGTGACAACACATGTATGAGCCGCTGAAAAAAAAAGGTGAATTAAAAAAAAAAGGCAGCGGCCAATGACGAGCGTGAGTGGAGCACGGAAGGAGGAAGCTCAGTCTATTTAATTACAAAAAAAAACCGGGTGTACATACACCCGGATGTACCATATAATTTGCGACTTTTGTGAGCTTTTTAATAATTGTTAGCTTTTGGTGACTGAAAAGATCTTAAAAGGAAAAGGTGGTAGCTGTTTGATAAAAAGCTGACTGTTTGATTTAGTTCGGTTTGATATACAAGCTGTTAGGGCTAATTAGTACTAAAAGCCACGGGCATTTTTCAGATGCTACTGCCTGTAGCATCTCAAAAAAGATATTTTATTTTTTTAAAAAACTCTTAAAAATTGTCATGCCAAACATATAACTAGAAGCTTTTAAAGACTTTTTGAACAATACAAAAGCTAGAAGTCAGAGACTTATGCCTGCCAAACATAGCCTAAGTCCATATTTACAGATAAATTTATTTTACTTTATAACATGTATATAATTTTACTCGTAATTATCACTTATCATATAAACTTATCAAATAATATGTATTGTTATGAAATTGATCATACGAAAAATAAGCAACTGAATAATGTTCTTTTGTGTTTTTATTATAATTAGAGTTTCTCTTACAATTATAGATATGTTTTATTAACACAACCTTCTATCAGATGTTCAATTTTTAATTGAGAAAGTGTATAAATGCTAACTATCAAATAAATTGCTGAGTGGATTGACTAGTTGAATCTAAGGATAGCAAGGGGCGGGGGGCACGACCACCCGACCATGAGGAAACCATGGAGATGAGCTTGGGGCAGGACGACATGAGGATGAGTGAGATATTTCCACCAAGTAGAATGTGGGACGGCTGATGGGGAATACTACACCCGCCTCGACCTCGCTCCCACTATGCATATACACACAAACATATATGAAGGTTATATATTATACACATAGAGTAATGATCCTGTCCAGCCGGAGGGACAGGACCCGCCGTCGCCATTTGGGGTCCTTCCCGGTGGATTTTTTTGCTGAAATTTTTTAAACATGTTCTTTATGAAGTATAGTTTATCCATACCAAATTTCAGCTAAAAATTCAATCCGGAAGGCAGTCAAATGATTTTTGGAAGTTAACTGCTCACTTTATATACATATAAAATGCAGTCATCTTCCAAAAATCATTTAAGTGCCTTCCCGGTTGAATTTTTAGCTGAAACTTGGTATGGATAAACTAGACTTCATGAAGAACATGCTAAAAACAATTCATCAAAAAATTCCACCGGAATGGGCCTCAAATGGCCTCGGCCGGACAGAGCTTCCTGTCCATCCGGATGGACTGGATCTTTTTCCTATACACATATACATGTAGAGAAATGATCTAGTCAGGCGTGCCTGACTATATGCCTTGTACAACCAAGCCTTTTGAGACGTTTCGAGTTGAATTTTATATATGAAATTTTGTGAAAATGTTTTTGATGAAGTGTATATCATGTCAACAAAATTTCAAATTAAAATTTAATTTGAAAATTTGTTAAATAAATTATTGAAAAGTACTATGCCTACATTTCATATAAAAAGTGCAGTGACTTTTATATGTGAAATAATGGAACAGGGATGCCCACTAAAGAGCTCTGGCAAATATATTTATAGTAAAGAGATTAAGTGTAAAAATACATAAATATCCCTACTTAATATTCTATAACATCCCCTCAATCTGTGCGGGAGAAACAACGTGCAGGTTGTCTTTTAAAAAATGAAAACGCTGAGTAGGAAGACTCTTAGTAAAAATATATGCCAACTGTAAATGAGTCAGAACGTGACGAACAACCAGATCTCCATGAGCAACACGTTCTCACACAAAATGATAATCAATCTGTATGTGTTTACTTCGGGCATGCTGAATAGGATTAGCAGTCAAGTATGAAGCAGAAACAATGTCACACAGCAAGTGAACCGGTTCGGCAACAGGAAAACCGAGTTCAAATAAAACAGACCTGATGTGCAAAGTATCCCGAATGGTGTATGCAATGGCACGATACTCAGCTTCCGTAGATGATTTGGACACTGTAGGTTGCTTCTTTGACTTCCAGGAAATCAGATTAGGGCCCAGAAAAATGGCAAAACTTGTGGTGGACCGAGAACTATTTGGACAACCAGCCCAATCCACATCTGAATAAGCTAGAACACATGTGGGTTTCACGGATCGCTAAAGCCAAAGGCCATGGTCACGTGTCCCCAGTAAATACCTGATAATTCTCTTGACTGCAAATAGATGAGTAGTACGAGGAGCATGCATGAAGTGAGACACTAAGTGTACTGCATAAGTAATGTCAGGTCGTGTCAAAGTTAAATATTGTAACGCACCTACAATGCTACGATACTCAGTGGAATCCGAGAGTAACTCACCATCAGATAGGGATAGAGTGGTGCGAGAGGCTAACGGAGTACGAACGGGTTTAACAGTGTGGAGATGAAAACGAGAAAGAAGATCTGAAACGTATGTATTTTGAGAAAGAAACAGACCTTTTGGAGAACGAGTTGCCTCAACACCTAGAAGATAATGGAGATTACCCAGATCTTTCATACCAAAATGATTAGAAATAGTAGTGACAAATTGGGTAATAGTAGACTCGGAATTGCCAGTAATAATAATATCATCTACATATAATAATAATAAATAAATAATAGTATTATTATGGAGATAAATGAACAAGGAATTATCAGATTTACTACAACAAAAATGATGCTGCAGAAGGAAGCTAATAAACTTATGGAACCAGGCCCGTGGTGCTTGCTTAAGGCCATTAATGGCGTTGCACAAACGACACATATGATTAGGAAATTGGGGATGAATGAAACCACGGGGTTGACGCATATAAACTTCCTCTGTGAGAGAACCATTCAAAAATGCATTTTTAACATCCAACTGACGTATAACCCAACCAAAAGAGACTGCAGGAGTAAGAACAATACGTACTGTGGTGGGTTTGATAACTGGACTAAAAGTTTCAGAGAAATCAATACCAGCCTGTTGATTAAACCTCTGGGCAACTAATCTAGCTTTATGTCGTTCAACAGACCCATCAGAATGATATTTTGTCTTATAAATCCACTTACAACCAACAATATTCTTAGTATTGTCAAAGGGCACCAGATCCCAAATGTTATTATTAATGAGTGCATTAAATTCATCAGTCATTGCTTCCCTCCATTTTAAATGTTTATTTGCCTCAGTAAAACAAGTAGGATCTGTCTGGGTAACAATTGTACTCAAGTTGAAAATTGTTTTTGGTTTGAAAATACCTGATTTGGATCGGGTTTGCATAGGATATTCATTAAAGACCGGAGGCTGGGCAGCAGTTGTGGTTGGGATAATTGATGTCTCGGCCGAAGTAGGAGAAGGAGGTTCGAAGGTGTCACCTACTAGAGTTCTAGGAGTGGAAGGTAAGATGCATGAAGATATAGGAGTAGAAGGTGAGCTGCTGGCCGAGAGGGAGGAGGAAGTGGCCGAAAATGGGGAAGAAAAACTGGACCACGGGTTTGGGTTATCGGCAGGACTGCTGGGGAAACATGGCTGGGAGACGAAGAAGCCGAGCTGGATGAAGTAGGCAGGTGAGTTTCAGAAGCAGTGGGTAATGCGGTGACCTTCATGGGAAACTGTGGTGGAAGGAGGAAGAGTAGGAGTAGGGAAGGAACGGTGTTGGAAAGGGTATGTATCCTCATGAAACCTAACATGTCGGCTGATATAGACGCGACCAGTGATACGATCATAAAAACGATAGCCTTTATAACCAGATGCATAGCCAATAAAAACACACTGAACTGATCTTGGAGAAAGTTTATTGGCCAACGTGGCTGCAAAGTTTGGGTAACAAGCCGTGCCAAACACACGCATAAAAGAATAATCCGGTACACGATGAAATAGTTTTTGATACGGAGAAAGACCATTTATTGTAGGAGAAGGTAATCTGTTAATAATATATGCAACAGTAAAAAGTGCATCAACCCGGAATTGGCTCGGTACGGAAGCCTCGAGAAGCATAGTACGAGTTAATTCCAGGAGATGAAGATGTTTTCGTTCAGCAACCTCATTTTGTTGAGGTGTATCAGGACATGATTTTTGAAAATAAATGTCATTATCCACAAAAAATTGCTGCATATTGCGATTAACAAATTCACCCCCTCCATCACTTTGAAAATTTTTAATTTTCTGATTAAAAAGATTTTCAACCAAAACTTTAAAAATTTTAAAGTGCATAAAAACTTCACTTTTATGACACATGGGATATACCCAAGTAAATCAAGAAAAATCATCAATAAAACAGACATAGTACTTGAAACCCAAGTTTGAACAAATTGGAGATTGCCACACATCAGAATGAATAATTGTAGAGGTAAAGAAGAATTATGAGTAGCACTCATAAAAGGCAAATGTTGCAATTTTCCTAATCGACATGCCACACAAGCATGAGTAAACGGAGTATGATTACATAAAAACTGTTGATGTTTAAGAAACTGCAAAGTAGTATCACTACAGTGACCTAATCTACGGTGCCACACAGGGCCAGATGCTAAAACAGAAGCTAGAACTAGGGGTGATGATGACGGCAAACGAAGAGGGTAAAGAAGTCCACTACTGGTAGCTCGTAGAAGTACTGCCCCCAAGGCTCGGTCCTTAATAAAAAAAGAATTTTTGTCAAAAATTACAGTACAATTGTTATCAGCACATAATCTTTTAATAGAAATTAAATTGTACTTTAACTGAGGCACATGATAAACAAATTTTAATGTAAGAGGACGAGCAGATGAAGGTAAAGCAACATCACCAATATGACAGATAGGTAAATGGGCGCCATTAGCAACACTGACAGAATTAAAGCCATTGTAAGGAAATTTATTAATTAAAATACCTTCTGTGGGAGTCATGTGAGCAGAAGCTCCTGAGTCAGGATACCATAAAGCAGAATTAGCTTCCCCGGGAGTGGTCAAAAGAGCTGGTGCAGACGGTTGATTGAAACGAGGTGGACAAGAAATAGCGGAATGACCCGCAGAAAAACAAATTTGACACACAACGGGATGGGGAACTGACCCAAGAACACCCCCATCTGATGACAAGCCTGCAAACACCAAGTTAGTACCATAAACAGATAAGGCATTAATATTTAAATGTGACTCAGGTGAATTACGAAATACAGTACCCGAGGAGTGTCCACCCCCTGCGTGTGGAGTAGAACCAGGCTAAAACTGCACACCAGGAGCTCCTGCCGCGAACATTGGTTGCTGGCCGTGCTGGGGGTACCCAAAAATGGGCTATCCATAACCTTGCTGTTGTTGGTATTGACCGCGGCCTCGCCCTCGGCAACCGCGGCCACGTCCCCCACGCCCTCGGCTGCCACGGCCTCGTTGTCCCTGCTGCTGGACGTACGTGGCTGGTCGTTGCACTTGCTGTTGACTACCAGGTTGTGGACCCACCTGATGGGTCGAAGGAAGTCCAAGCTGCTGTGTGCGCGCACCAAAGGCCTGGTGTAGTGATGTCTCTTGGGACCGTAGATAAAGTACCCTTTGTTCTTGTTCCAGCAGATGATTTCGTAATGTCTCAAACGGAAAGTTTTGTGGAAATAGAGACACCGTTGTAAACAAAGACTCATATTCAGGACCTAAACCCATGATGGTGGTTTTGAGTAGTTCACGGGGAGGAACAGAGCAGTTGATATTATTAAGATCATCAGCTAAAACTTTAATTTCACGTAAATAATTATCTATAGACTGGTCAGATTTCTTTTTAAGCTGACCCAACAAACGTTTTAACTCCATAGACCGTGCCAAGCTGGCAGACATAAAACGAGATTCTGATCTAATTGTTCCCATATTTCAGAAGAATGTTTTAAATCCCGAACATCAACGAGAACATCACGTGACAGAGTAGCAAATAGCCAGGAACGAATGGTTTGATCAATTCGTAACCAGGTAGAGAAGTCGGGATTGGGAATTTGACAATTTAGAAATTCTATGGAATAAGGAGGAGGTACCCAAGATGTTCCGGAAGGTGGGTATCGTAGATGATACCCCAGGC